CCTGTTTTAACTCATGGTGGGGGTCCCACCACTGTCACCTGTGTGGATCCTGCATCCACCACGGGTCCTGCTGCTGGGGGTCCCACTACCAAGGGTCCCACTGTTGTCACTTGCCTGGGGTGGCACTACTGTGGGTCACTTCCCCTGGGTGTCCCCCTGTGTCCCCCCAATGCCACCTGCACAGCTCCCATTGCCACCACGACTCCTGCCACTGCTGTCACCCACGGGGTCCTGCTGCCACCACATATCCCACTGTGTGTCCCACCAGTGTCACCGACTGTCCTCCCCAGCAGGTCCTGAGGGAGCTGGCACACATGGGGGGACACAGAGGGTGGTGACAGGCAGGACATCCCCCAGCTGGTGCCATGCCATGCCCTTGGGTGACATGGGCTGCTGGCCCTTTGAGGACACCCCCGTGCCAACAGGGTGTCCTCAACCATCAGGAGGTCACCAGTGCCACCTCTCAACCTCCTGCCCCCTGAAGGACCTGAACCAGCACTGAAGGTGGTGGGTCTGTATCCCTGGACTGGGGGGGGGGGGGGTCTGGGTGTCCCTTTAAGTGTCCTGTCCCTGTGCCAGCAGTGGCAGTGTGACCCTTCTCCCAGTGCCACCACGTGACAGATTGTTTGTCCACTGTCCTGGTCCCCTGCCAGTGGGATCTGGCTGTGCTGGGGAACGATGGGTCAGGCCATGCCAGGGGGGGCCTCCGGCCATGCCAGCAGGATCCAGCCATGCCACCCCTCCCACAACCACCCCAGATCACAGCCACCCTCATGCCTCACATCCCATCAGGGGTCCTTGTCCCCAGGTGTCCCCCAGGTCCACTGCACCAGCAGGGAGGTGGGACAGGGCACACTAAGGAACCACCAGGGCTCACCAGGAACCACTCAAGTGCAGGGTAGTCTCACGGCACAGCGGTTTTTGGGGTGGGGGGTCCTGGTTGATGAGTGCTGACCCCTTGCCCTGCATGGGGCAGTGCCCCAGGGGACCCTGTACCCCCTCGTGGGGGGGTCCCTGGAGTGTAATCTCTCTTTGGGGGGTGCCAGCTGTGGGATAACTGTGTCCCTTCCCAGGTATGTCCAGAGCCTGCTGGACATCATGGCGTTCCTGGACAGGGACCCCGAGGACCAGGCCACGCTGGGACAGTAAGTTGGGGGTGTGACAGCATGTCCTTGTCCCCAGTCCTGAGGTGTCACCTTCTCCCAGACTCCCACCGGTGTGAACTGGTGTCACCCAGGGCTGTATCCCCCCCAAACTGCCCCCACCCCATCCCAGTGCCACCAGACTGCGCTCTGGTTTTTCCTGGGTGCCACCAAAGGAATCCCAGCCTGGATCGGGGGCCCTGCCCAGACCGGGTGTCCCCAGGGCCACCTCTGTGCCCTCCCCAGGTTCACGGATGCCCTGGTCACCATCCGCAACCGGCACAACGACGTGGTGCCCACCATGGCCCAGGGGGTCATCGAGTACAAGGAGGCCTACGGAGATGATCCCGTCTCCAACCAGAACATCCAGTACTTCCTCGACCGCTTCTACCTGAGCCGCATCTCCATCCGCATGCTCATCAACCAGCACAGTGAGCAGGGAGCTCCAGGGGTCCCCCTGCACCCCTGGGCATCCCTGACAGCCTTGGGCATCCCCCTAGAGCATCATCTCAGCCCCAGGGGTCTGTCCTGAGGGTCTCCCTGTCCTGAGGGTCTCCACAAGGGTCCCCATCATCACTGTGCATCCCAACATCCCCCCTGTTCCAGAGTGTCACCTCCCCAGCCCCAGGGTCCCCGCCCTGAGTCCCCTGGGGGTGTCTCTGGGGTCAGGGTGGGGTCGCCACAGCTCATTGTCCCCCCCCAGCTCTGCTCTTCGACGGCAGCACCAACCCCGCGCACCCCAAACACATTGGGAGCATCGACCCCCACTGCAACGTGGCCAACGTGGTGAGAGGTTGGTGGGGTCTTGGGGCCTCCCACCCCCACGGGGGTGTGAATTTGGGGCATGGGGGGGTCACTGAATGTTCCCCTAATCCTCCCCTTACTCTATTTGGAAGCCATTTGCGTCACAAGTTTGGGTTGTCCTCAGCAAAAGCATCCCCCATGCTTTGGGGTCACGCCAGGAGACCCCCAAAACTCGCTGAATCTGTAGGACTGGAAAATATTTGGGGGTGGGGAGCAAACAAGGGGACCTTAAATGCTCCCTCTGCTCCATTTTGGAGGGTGCTGACCATTCTGCTCCCCCCTCCCAGATGCTTACAACATGGCCAAGCTCCTGTGTGACAAGTACTACATGGCCTCGCCCGACCTGGAGATCGAGGAGGTGAACGGTGAGGCCAGTCCGGGGGGTCCCCAGAGGCAGAGGGATCCTGGGGGGGATCATTTAGGGTTGGAGGTCCCTGTGGTAGATGGAGGATTCTGGAGGGGCTCAATTAGGGTTGGGGGTCCTTGTGGTGGGGGGATTCTGGGGTGGCTCCTTGAGGGTTGGGGGAGCACAACGATGCCAACGGCTGCTCCTCCTCCCTGCAGCCACCAACTCCCAGCAGCCTGTGAGCATCGTCTACGTGCCCTCCCACCTCTACCACATGCTCTTCGAGCTCTTCAAGGTAACCCCAGCCCTGCTGGCGGAGGGTCTGAGGAGGAGTTTTTGTGGGGTCCCCCCTGAACTGGTGACGCCTCTGTGCCCCCAGAATGCCATGAGAGCCACCGTGGAGAGCCACGAGAGCAGCCCCCGCCTGCCTGCCATCAAAGTCATGGTGGCCCTGGGCCAGGAGGACCTTTCCATCAGGGTGAGGGACCACCAGCTCCATCCCAAGGGGGGGTGGGGGGCCAGGAGCAGGGTTGTCACCCCCGCTGTGGTGTCTCACAGATGAGTGACCGGGGCATGGGAGTCCCCCTGAGGAAGATCGAGCGTCTCTTCAGCTACATGTACTCCACGGCCCCCACCCCCCAGATGGGCACTGGGGGAACCCCCCTGGTAGGTGACCCCCTTGGCATGGGCTGTGGGGGTCTCACGGGGTCCTGGGGAGAGGGGAGCGAGGCATGGGTCTGCGGGGGGGTTTGAGGGGGTGCCTGGGGTGGATGGGGGTATTTCGGGATGGGTAGAGTGGCTTGGGGGAGGTTTGGGGATGGCATGGGGACACTTTGGGGTGGCATAGGTACATTTGGGGTGCCCAGGGATGGCATGGGGACACTTTTGGGGTGACGTGGGGATACTTTGGATTGCCTGGGGACATTTGAACGTGGCACAGTGACCGCTGGCAGGGGCACGGAAGCTTTGGGCTGCACATGGTGCTGCCTGTGGTGATGTGGGGAAGCTTGGGGTGCCCCGGGGGTGCCACCTCAGCACTGGAGACCCTCCCACCCCATTCCTCACCCCTCTCAGGCTGGGTTTGGCTACGGGCTGCCCATCTCCCGCCTCTATGCCAAGTACTTCCAGGGGGACCTGCAGCTCTTTTCCATGGAGGGCTTCGGCACCGATGCCGTCATCTACCTGAAGGTGGGTCTTTCTCCCTCCAAATGGGGGGTTCAGGGCTCTGGGGAGGGGGGCACAGGACCCTGCCCAGCCCCCTGTGTGCCCCCAGGCCCTGTCCACAGACTCGGTGGAGCGGCTGCCTGTGTACAACAAGTCAGCGTGGCGGCACTACCAGGCCAGCCAGGAGGCCGGGGACTGGTGCGTGCCCAGCACCGAGCCCAAGAACACCTCCACCTATCGTGTGCCCTAAGCCCCCCCCGGGGCTCACAGCTCCCCCCAGGCCGCAGAGAACCCCTCGCCCCAGCTCACAGGACCTCCTCTGGCATGACCCCCACCACCCCAGGGGGTTGTTGGAGTGTCCTGGTTCTGTGGCTTTTTGGGCTCCACTGGAAGTGGGTCCCAGTGGGGTGTGGGGGGTCTCAGTGGGGTGTGAGGGGGTCTCAGCACCCCCCACCTTGGTGGCACTTAGGTACATAGCTGAGGGGAATGGTGGAGCAGCGTGGAGGGGGTAAAACCGCTGTTGTCCCCTCTCCTGTTCCCTCCAACCTTCACACCCACCCCAGGGGGTGCACTCTGGCCCAGCAGGGGACTGGTCTCCTTTCCCAGTATGACCAGTAGCACTTCCCTGCCCCTCCAGCCCTGGCAGGGTGGTGGGACCCAGGCCTGAGTCCCCCACACGCTCTCATTTCCCGTCTCCCATCCCTGTTATTGCACTACTGAGCTGTTCTCACCTGCGTGTGCCCCCTACCCCTGCACCTCTTGCACCCCCCCGGGGGAGTTCCCCACCCCACACATGCTGTGACCTGCTCAGAAACCTCCCCCTGCCCCCCTTAAATTCCCCTCTTTCCCCCCCTCCACCTCCCCAGACCATCCCTCCCCACTGTCAGTAAATTGTACGTTGGTTGAGCTCCTGGTGTGGTGTTTTGGGGTCCTGGAAACGCATCCCCCTTGGCTCCCCCTAAATGGGTCACTGACAGCCCCATGCCTCAGTTTACCCACTCCCAGGCTTGGGAGGGGGCTGGGCACAGTCACAGGGTGGCACTTAGGGACCAGCCATGCTCTGTGCCTTGCTCTCAGCCTGACACTGAACTCCCCCCACCCCATCTTGCCCCCCTGGCCCCACCCCAGTCAGCCTCACACTTGTTTGCACTGGCCCTTGATACCCTTTTATTTCCTGGGATGGCCTCTGGGGCACCATATTTGGGGGAGTTGGGGGGTGTGGGTAGGTCAGCAATCGCCCTCCATCCCCCAACTTGGGGGTGTCCCTGTGTGGGGGGGCTCAGGCCACACACTGTCCCCAGCCAGTGCTGGCTGTGACCTCCCTTCCCGCCTCGAGGTGCTGCTGATGGGATGGGGGGTGATGGGGCAGGCTGGGGGTGTCCAATGTGCCACTTGCATCTGGAAAAGGGGCCCCTAGGAGGGAGGGGGGGCCCAGGCTGTGCCTGTGGGGTGCAGGGGTGCAGGCAGGGAGGGGGCTGGAGGAGGGGGTGGCGCATGGTGTTCCGTGCCTATCTCAGCCTGGCACTGGTGTGTCCCACGCTGTGGGTGGGGAGGGGGTGCAGGGGCACTCCCAGGTTCCCCCCTCAACTCCGCCGCTGCTCCTGGAGGTCCTTCTTCTTCTGCTTCTCTCGCTGCTTCTCCGCCTTCTCCTGGGCCTTGCGCTCCCTCTGGGCCGCCAGGCTCAGCTCCTTCAGCTTCCTCTTCAGCACCGCCCTGTCCTGGGGGCTGCCCACCCCCAGCGCCTGCGGGCACAGCAGGGGGCTGGCAGGGGGGCCACACTGCCCCCCAAGCCCTTTGGGGTACCTGGACCCCCCTGCACTGCCTGTCCTCAGGATCACCCGCCCCGGTACCCACCCGCCCTGTGGAGCAGCACCTTGGGGTCCCCAGAACCTCCTATCCACCTCCTTGAGTCGTCCCTTGGGGCGCCTGGGACTTCCTGCCCTGTGGAGCCACCGGTTTGCACAAGGGGGTTTAGGTACCCTTTGATGAGGTACCCCTTGATGAGCCCTTTGGGGTACCTCAAACCCTCACAGACCTCCATGGAACACCCCGTTGGGCTACCCAGAATCATCCCAGACCTTCCTGCCCCATGGAGCATCTTATTGGGGTACCTAGAACCCTCTGAGACCTCCTGCTCCATGAGGCACCTTGTTGGGGTACCTAGAACCCTCTAAGACCTCCTGCTCCATGGGAGGTCCCCTCCCACCCTCCGCTGGAGTACCCAGAACCCTCCCAGAGCTGCAGTATGGACCATCCTGTTGGGGTACTTAAAACCCTCTGAGACCTCCTGCTCTGTTGGGGTACCCAGAACCTCTGGCCCCACCCCAGAGCCCATTGGGGCACCCAAAACCCTCCCATGCCCCCTCAGCAGAGCCCCCTCCCCCATACCTTGAGCTTGGCCCCATTGAGGTGCAGGAGCTGGGGCCCGTCCACGCCATGGGCTAAGAACTCCTGCACGTACTGCTCCAGGCTCAGGCTCTCCAGCCACTGCCCCACCTGCTGGCAAGTCCAGCCCATGGCCACGCCGGGGGGTTCCTCCAGGAACTGGCACAGGGCGTTAGTGGGGGGTCCCCGTAGCAACTGGAGGTGGAGGTGGGGACACACACCCCAACCTCGCCCCCCTTGCCACATCTCACCTCATCCGAGGACTGGGACAGGGTGTGGTAGGGGTACGAGCACTTGGTGCGGGGGGGCCCAGGCAGGCGGGGGCTTGTGCTGGGCGGGGGGGAGTCCTCGCTCAGCGTTGAGTCCTGGGGCAGCAGGGGGGGTGGGGGGGGCATGAGTGCAGAGCTGCCCTCCTCCCCCCCAGAACCCCCCTATAACACCTTCCCACACCCATAGGGCTTCCAGACACCCCTGGGCTTTCATCCTTCCTAAAGCCATTGTGGGGTTTTGAGCTCTCTCTCTGTAGTAGTTACCTGACCCTATGGGGCTTTGGACAACCCCGTCCCCAAGCCATCTTGACCCTATTGGGCTTTGGACTCCCCGCCCAATGCTTGTCTTGACTCTGCAGGGCTTTGTCAGCCCCCCAAAACCATCTTGACCTTATAGGACTTTGGACCTCCCAATACACATCATGACGCTATAGGGTTTTGACTCCCCCCAAAGCCACCCTGACCCTATGGGGCTTTGTCCCCTGTCCCTACAGCTGGTGTCACCTCCTCTCCTGTAGCCACTGAATTCATCAGAGCATGGATGTCCCTATAGAGCCCCCATCCCCTCCCTTATCCCCACAGTGCCAAGACCCCCTTCCCCTGGCCAGGCACTGACCTGGGAGGCAGATTTGGCGGGGCTGAGCCCCTCGTGCCGGGGGGAGCTGGTGGGAGATGCAGAGCCAGGGGAGACTGAGCCCTTGGCACTGTCCGAGAACCACGAAAAGGGCATGAAGGGGGAGCCTGAGGGGCGACCAGGACCCTCCGCTGCCTCCCTGGGCACAGAGCTGTGTCAGGGCATGGGGGCTGGGCACAGGCAGCCCTCCCTGCCCTGGCTGAGGGGGTGCCTCACCTGCTGCCCATGGACAGGCGGTTGCTGCTCTTCTCCTTCCGGCTCTTGCCAGAGGACGCCCGGCGCAGGGTCACCCTGAGGGAGAGGGGAGAATCCTGAGGGCTGTGCTCCCCCCATGGACTCCAGGACTCCATCCATCCATCCATCCTTCCTTCCACCCATCCATTCTTCCATCCTTCCATGCATCCATCCATTCTTCCATCCATCCATCCACACATCCATCCTAGAGACCCCTTTGTTCCCTCCAGAGGATCCTCCTCCTCCCTCCACTTGTGCATCCCTTCTCCACGTATCCCTCCATCTTTTCCTCCCTTCAGGCATCTCTCCGTCTATGTCTCCATCTTTTTTTCTGTTACACCTCTTCATCCCTGCATCCATCCCCCCTGCATCTGTCCACACTCCCAGCCCTCCATGTACCCACCCTCCATCCCTTCCTGCATCCGTTGCTGCACTTCTCCTTCTGGCCCTCTCCATCCCTCCCTATCCCTTCCTCCATCTCCTCCTGCATCCTTTCCTGGTCCCCTCCATCCCCCCTGTCCCACTCCACCCCTCCCTTGTGTATCCCCTTGCTACCCCCAGGACTGGGTCTCACCCTAAGTCCAAGAACTTCCTTCGTGTTTTCTTGTCCAGCCCCACAGTGGGACTGGCAGGCTCGGGGGGGCTCATGTCCCGGCTGTCATCTACAGGAGAAGGACCGGGGTGTCCCCCACCACCCTCCACAGTGCTGGGGGATGGTCCCAGAGGTCCCTGTACGCTGGGGGGGTGGTGTCAAGGTGGGGGTCTCACCTTCGCTGTGCTGCCATGGCCGGGCATCGCGGCGGGCGAAGCCGGGGGAGCTGTCAGAGCTGGGACAGGATTTGGGCACGGGGGGGCCCGACAGCCCCTCCTGGGATGAGGTGTTGGTGAGGGGCTGGTAGCGGCTGAGGGGGGGTGTGGGGGCCGGGGGGTCCCCCAGTGCTGCCCTCCCCGCCCCCACCTCAGAGGAGAAGTCGCCGGCACGGGAGAAGGGCAAGGGCGTCGGGGGGCTACCATCACCCTCAGTGCCCTTTGAGGGGCACAAGGCAAGGGGAGGGGGGGTCAAACCCCTGCATCCCCCCGGGTTTGTCCCCTAGACCCCCACCCCTGCAGTCCCTCCAGCCATGGCATCCCCCCCTCTAATCCCTGGGGTCCACAATGCCCCCCACCCCAGAAACACCCCCAGCCATGGCATCCCCCCCTCTAATCCCTGGGGTCCACAATGCCCCCCACCCCAGAAACACCCCCAGCCATGGCATTCCCCCTGTAGTCCCTGGGCTTCGTGGTGGCACCCAACCCTGCAGCCCAGCCATTCCCCTCTAGTCCCTGGGGTCTGTGGGGCCTCCCAGCCATGGCATTCCCTCCTCTAATCCCTGGGGTCCACAGAGCCACCCACCCCTTCAGCACCCCCAGCCATGACATCTCCCAACACCATCCCTGGGCTCCATGGTTCCTGGGGTCCCCCATCCCTGTTTTACCACCAACCACAGCATTCTTCTCCCTGTACTCCCTGGGGTCCACAGTACCCCCACTCCAGAAACACCCCCAGCCATGGCATCCCACCCCTGTAGTCCTGGGGTTGACAGTGCCCCCCATGCCAGCAACACCCCCAACCACAGCATCCCCCCCTCTAGTGTCCATGGTGCCCCCCGGCCCCTGCAGGCCCCTTGCTATGGATTCCCCCCTCTAATCCCTGGTGTCCGCGGTGCCCCCTGCCCCTGATGCCCCCCGGTCTCACTGCGGTGTCAGGCCCCTCATCGCCCTCGGTGGAGCTGGCGCTGTCGCGCAGGCGGGAGCGGGAGGGCCGGTGGCGGCGGCCCTTGGCCAGCAGGCGGGCCCGGGCTTTGTGCAGGCTGCTGTCCAGGCGTGGCGTCTCTGGAACCACAGCGGTAAAATCTGGGGGTGAAAGAGAGACCGGGGCAGAGAGAGAGAGACAGACGGACAGACAGACATGGGGTGCGGTGGGGTGGGGTGGGGTGGGATGAGGTGGGATGGGATGGGATGGGATGGGATGGACGAGGAGAAAGGAGGAAGATTGGGGTAGATGGAGGGATGGAGGAATGGACAAGTAGGGAGAAGGGATGGATGGGTGGGTGGATGGATTGATGGGGAGGGAAAATGAAGATGGGGAGGGATAGAGGGACAGGAAGGAAGGGAGGAAGGAAAAGGGAGAAGGAAGATAGGGAGGGATAAAAGGACAAGTACGGAGGAGGAGGATGGATGGATGGAGGGATGGATGGATGGATGGATGGATGGATGGATGGATGGGTGGATGGGTGGATGGATGGATGGGTGGATGGATGGATGGATGGATGGATGGATGGATGGATGGATGGATGGATAAGGAAAAGGAAATGGTGGACAGGTGGATGGGTGGGGCCAAGCAGATGCGGGGGAAAGGAGGGAGGAATGGATTGATGGGAGATGGAGGGATGGATAGCCAAGAAGGAGCAGGTAGAAGAGGACGGGGAGAATTGGAGGGAAGCAGACAGAAGGTTGGGAGAAGGCCAGCCCGGTGAAGAGGGGACAGAGGGACATTGGTGACAGGGCAGGAGAGTCAAAGGGCAGGAGGGGGGTCCCAGGGAGATGGGAGGGGGCACAGGGAGAGGGGAGCATTGGGGACATGGATGGGGCACCCCAGTGGGGCAGGACAGGGAACAGAGGGACAGAGAGAAGTGTTCAAAGAGATACCCCGGCATGGGGAGAGAAGCAGTGGGGTGACCCCAGGGACAGAGTGTCCCTGTCACCCAGGGGGGCCACTCTTTGTCCATGGTCCAACCAGGATCCCCCTGGTGTCCCTGCCCTGCTGTGACCCCTGTACTCCAACCTAGCTCGAGGGTGGCTCTGGGCCACATCCTTATGTCCCTGTCACCCTGTGCACACCTCTGGGCCTGTACGCCCATTTCTGTGTGCCCTGTGCATGTCCCCATGTCCTCATGTCCCTGCCAGTCTGTGCATGTCCCTGTGCCTCTCCCCATGTCCCCACATTCCTGTCACCTTGTGCACACCTGTGTGTGCCCACACCTGTGTGTCCCCATGTTCCTGTCACTCTCTGCCCCTGTCCCCTGTATGTGTCCCCATGTTCCCCTGCCCATACACATCCCTTTGTCCCCAAGCACATGTTGTCCCCAAACTCAGTTTGTCCCCCCTAAGACAGGAGGACACTGAGAGTGGGTGGGGACCCACAGAGAGTTCTGCACCCCACAGGGGTCTCTGCACCACATTTGGGGATCTGCAACCCATGTGCCCACTGGGACTCACCAAAAACCTCGTCTGTGTCCTGCAGCTTGGAGACTGACATGGTGGGACAGAGCTGGGGACAGAGGGGACAGTCAGGACACCCCCTGTGCTCGGGGGAGTGAGGGGGAGCAGGGGAGGGATCAGACCCTCTCCCAGTGATTCCAGTGACCCCCTCTGCCCTCCCAGTGATCCCCATGTCCTGAGTTACAGGGAGGGGGGGAGGACTGGGGACCCCCTTTGCAGAGCATGCGGGAGGAAGTTAACCCCCCCTCGGGGTTCAAGGGGTCTTGTGGTGGGAGCGGGGACTCCTAATGCCTTGGCAGCATCGGGACAGGGGGGGGGGAAGGCGGGGTAAGTGGGAGGGCAGATCCGCTCCCAGCTGCCTCCCCAGCCCCTCCCTCCCCCCAAGGAACGGGGCCAGCGCTGGTGGGGCCTGGGGCAGGGCGGTATGAGGAGGGGGCAGGACCGGGGATGATGTAGCTGTGTTTGGAGCTGTACCGGGATGGGGTCGTACCGGGGATGCTGTACCGGGATGGGGCTGTACTGGGGTGTCCCAGGGGATGGTTCTGTACCTGGGGTGGGGCTGTACCGGAGGATGGGGCTGTACAGGGGCTATACTGAAGGACGGGGCTGTACCGGGGCTGTACCGGCGCTGGTGTACCTGGGGTGGGGGCTGTACCGGGGCAGGGCTGTACCAGATGTGTACCGGCGGATGGGGCCGTACCGGGGATGCTGTACCAGGGCTGGGGCTGTCCCGGGGCTGTCCTGGTGGTAAAGGGATCTACCGTGGTTGTACCGGGGATGCTGCCCGGGGGATGAGGCTGTACCGGGAATACTGAATCGGGGCGATGGGGCTGTCCCGGGGGAGGGGTTCTACCGAGGATGCTGAACCGGGGCTGTACAAGGGATGCTGTCCCGGGGGTGGGGCTGTCCCAGGGGTGGGGCTGCCCTGGGGATGCTGTACCGGGGATGAGGCTGTACCGGGGGATGGGGCCATCCCGGGGCCGCTGTCCCGGGGTGAGGCCCTGTCCGTTTCCCCGAACTCACCGGCGCTCCTGGGGCATTCTGGTCGCCCCCGGTCGCCTCCCGCCGGGCTGGGTCGGGGCCGTGGCGAGGCCGATGGGAGCGGAGGGCGCTGCCGAGCCGCGCCGGGCCGCCCCGCCGGGCCGGGGGCC